TTGAATTGATCCCTTTACCATTATGTAATGGCCTCTTTGTCTCTTTTGATCTTTGATGGTTTAAAGTCTGTTTTATCAGAGACTAGTATTGCAACCCCTGCTTTTTTTTGTTCTCCATTTGCTTGGTAAATCTTCCTCCATCCCTTTATTTTGAGCCTATGTATGTCTCTGCGTGTGAGATGGGTCTCCTGAATACAGCAGACTGATGGGTTTTGACTCTTTATCCAGTTTGCCAGTCTGTGTCTTTTAATTGGAGCATTTAGTCCATTTACATTTAAGGTTAAGATTGTTATGTGTGAACTTGATCCTGCCATTATGATATTAACTGGTTATTTTGCTCGTTAGTTGATGCAGTTTCTTCCTAGCCTCGAAGGTCTTTACATTTTGGCATGTTTTTGCAATGGCTGGTACCGGTTGTTCCTTTCCATGTTTAGTGCTTCCTTCAGGGTCTCTTGTAAGGCAGGCCTAGTGGTGACAAAATCTCTAAGCATTTGCTTATCCATAAAGGATTTTATTTCTCCTTCACTTATGAAACTTAGTTTGGCTGGATATGAAATTCTGAGTTGAAAATTCTTTTCTTTAAGAATGTTGAATATTGGCCCCCACTCTCTTCTGGCTTTAGAGTTTCTGCCGAGAGATCTGCTGTTAGTCTGATGGGCTTCCCTTTGTGGGTAACCCGACCTTTCTCTCTGGCTGCCCTTAAGATTTTTTCCTTCATTTCAACTTTGGTGAATCTGGCAATTATGTGTCTTGGAGTTGCTCTTCTCGAGGAGTATCTTTGTGGCGTTCTCTGTATTTCCTGGATTTGAATGTTGGCCTGCCCTACTAGGTTGGGGAAGTTCTCCTGGATGATATCCTGAAGAGTGTTTTCCAACTTGGTTCCATTTTCCCCCTCACTTTCAGGCACCCCAATCAGACGTAGATTTGGTCTTTTTACATAATCCCATACTTCTTGCAGGCTTTGTTCATTTCTTTTTCTTCTTTTTTCTTTTGGTTTCTCTTCTCACTTCATTTCATTCATTTGATCCTCAATCGCAGATACTCTTTCTTCCAGTTGATCGAGTCGGTTACTGAAGCTTGTGCATTTGTCACGTATTTCTCGTGTCATGGTTTTCATCTCTTTCATTTCGTTTATGACCTTCTCTGCATTAATTACTCTAGCCATCAATTCTTCCACTTTTTTTTCAAGATTTTTAGTTTCTTTGCGCTGGGTATGTAATTCCTCCTTTAGCTCTGAGAAATTTGATGGACTGAAGCCTTCTTCTCTCATCTCATCAAAGTCGTTCTCCATCCAGCTTTGATCCGTTGCTGGCGATGAGCTGCGCTCCTTTGCTGGGGGAGATGCGCTCTTATTTTTTGAATTTCCAGCTTTTCTGCCCTGCTTTTTCCCCATCTTTGTGGTTTTATCTGCCTCTGGTCTTTGATGATGGTGATGTACTGATGGGGTTTTGGTGTAGGTGTCCTTCCTGTTTGATAGTTTTCCTTCTACCAGTCAGGACCCTCAGCTGTAGGTCTGTTGGAGATTGCTTGAGGTCCACTCCAGACCCTGTTTGCCTGGGTATCAGCAGCAGAGGCTGCAGAAGATAGAATATTTCTGAACAGCGAGTGTACCTGTCTGATTCTTGCTTTGGAAGCTTCCTCTCAGGGGTGTACTCCACCCTGTGAGGTGTGGGGTGTCAGACTGCCCCTAGTGGGGGATGTCTCCCAGTTAGGCTACTCAGGGGTCAGGGACCCACTTGAGCAGGGAGTCTGTCCCTTCTCAGATCTTAACCTCCGTGTTGGGAGATCCACTGCTGTCTTCAAAGCTGTCAGACAGAGTCGTTTGCGTCTGCAGAGGTTTCGGCTGTGTTTGTTATTGCCCTGTCCCCAGAGGTGGAGTCTACAGAGACAGGCAGGTTTCCTTGAGCTGCTGTGAGCTCCACCCAGTTCGAGCTTCCCAGCAGCTTTGTTTACCTACTTAAGCCTCAGCAATGGCGGGCGCCCCTCCCCCAGCCTCGCTGCTGCCTTGCCGGTAGATCACAGACTGCTGTGCTAGCAATGAGGGAGGCTCTGTGGGTGTGGGACCCTCCCGGCCAGGTGTGGGATATGATCTCCTGGTGTGCCTGTTTGCTTAAAGCGCAGTATTGTGGTGGGAGTTACCCGATTTTCCAGGTGTTGTGTGTCTCAGTTCCCCTGGCTAGGAAAAGGGATTCCCTTCCCCCTTGCGTTTCCCAGGTGAGGCAATGCCTCGCCCTGCTTCAGCTCTCGCTGGTTGGGCTGCAGCAGCTGACCAGCACCGATCGTCCGGCACTCCCCAGTGAGATGAACCCAGTACCTCAGTTGAAAATGCAGAAATCACCGGTCTTCTGTGTCGCTGGCGCTGGGAGTTGGAGACTGGAGCTGTTCCTATTCGGCCATCTTGCTCCGCCCCCCAGTCCATCTCTTTCAGGGTGTCCAGGACATTTTTATTGAGTCCTCTTAATAACATCAAACAGGAGAAGATTTTGTGTTGATGCTATTGTCTATTGTTTTGTATTTATTTTTTTATTTTTCCCAGAAAGAGTTCCTCTTTCTGCGTTCCTTGTCTCAGATAATCTACTCAGTTTCAAAAACCAGACTCACTGTAGGCCTAGTGAATTTTACTTTTTCCTTCAATATCCACATTCAGTTAATCACTGAATCCTGATTATTCTACCTTCTTATTGGCCCTCCTTTCTTTTGCTTCTCTCTCCATTTCTTTAGCCACATTTTGAAATGCCAATTAAATTTTCTTAACTGGCTTTCCTTTTCTTATCTAAATTTTCACCATCTTTTCCTTCATGGAACTGACAGGTGCAAATTTTATAAATTGCATACTTGGTGTTCTTTTCTTTTTAATTATTAAAGTCTTTCCTGTGGCTTCCAATTACCTTTAAAGAAAACTCTGCATTTTTTTAGAATGGTATTCAAAATACTCTTTAACATGGCTTTGACTTTTTAGCCTGATATTCTTAAAATATAGATGTTCTAAGCTGTAGTAATAGTAAACCACCTACATTTTTGCAGATCTACATCCTTTTTCACACATTTGCATGCTTCTGTGTGTCCCCCTACCCATACATCTCTTGGTATTCTTTGACAAGGTTCTTCCTCTTCTTTCTGTTGCTACTGAACAGTGTTACGTTCCTCTATTGATTCAACTATTGCATTGTAATTGTTTGCTTAAGAATTTTCTTCATCCATTCAAATACAAACTACTTGGACTATGCCTTTTTTTTTCTTTTATTTTTTTCTCATGAAGTTCCTGATACATAGCAGGCACTCAATAAATTTTGAATTTATGAATGAATGAATTTATTAGAAAGTTTGGAAGAGAACTACATCTCCAGACTTCTTTTCATTTTGCTTTTAACTGTGTAATATGAACCAAATTTAATAAAACAGTCACTTTTTTATAGAAATGCTTTCCATGTCCTCAAAATTACAAAGCTCTTTTGGAAACTTCTGATCTCACAATATCATAACCTCATGGCTGGAAGGGAGCCTAGATAGGGCATTTAACCCTTCTAACCAAACCGGGAGTTACTGCTCAATTTCTCTGACATGTGTTTTTCCAGATTGTATTTGGATAACTTCAGGTATTGTGAAAATGAGGAAACGATGGAGCTTGTTCTTTCTATCTTTGTAGAATGATGACCATGCAAAAGGTGTCTTTTTATACTAAAACTAAATCTCTCTCTACAAGTTTCACACATAGACCTTGGTAAAACCCCAAGGGCAAAACAGAACATATTTATGACCTCTTCCATATAACAGTCTTCAAGAATTTGAAGACAGGTTATGTTCCTTACCAAGTCTTCTCTATCTCAGCTTAAAATATACAAAAAACTCAATTTCCTTCATAGCGTCTCATTATGCTTTTCCCCACCACCTTTCTTTTTTAATCTACAAGGATACTCTGTTAAATGGAACTCAAGCTTCTTGGCTGACTTAAATGGAATTAATTGGATTCTCACATTACTATTTCTAAATTAGGTTTTTTTTATGATAAAACCTAATTCTGTATTTATCATTGTTATTTTTATCCTATAAAATTAATTACCTTATTATTATAAAAATTAAAACAACATAGAGTTGTATACATAATGTACATGCTTCATAATTCTAGCTTCCAGGCATTACCATTGTTAATAGTTTTGTATATGGTCATGTACCACACGACAACAATTTCGTCAAAGAAGGACTGCATATACTACGGTGATCTCATAAGATTAAAATGGAGCTGAAAAATTTCTATCATCTAGTGAAGTTGTGATCATCATAATATTGTAGTGCAATGCATTATTTACATATTTGTGGTGATGCTAGTGTAAACAAACCTACTGTACAGATAGTTTATATGCATGACACATGCAATTATGTACATTACATTATACTTGATAATGATAACAAATCACTATGATACTGGTTTACATATTTACTATACTATCTGTTATTATTTTAGAGTGTATGACTACTTATAAAAATGTTAACTGTAAAACATCCTCAGGTAGGTCCTTTTAGGAGGTCTTGTTATCACAGAAGATGACAGTTCCACTTGTGTTATTGCCTCTGAAGACCTTCAGGACAAGATGTGGAGGTGGAAGACAGTGATATTAATGCTCCTGAGACCTTGTAGGCTTAGTATAACTTTTGTGTTTATGTCTTAGTTCTTAACAAAATCGTTTAAAAAGCAAAATTAGAATTAAAAAATGTAAAAATAGGAAAAAACTTATAGAATAAGAATATAAAGAAAAATATTTTATATAGCTAGCTGTACAATATGTTTGTGTTTTAAGCTATGTGTTATTACAGAAAAATCAAAAAGTTTTTAAATTTAAAAGCTCTATAAAGCAAAATGTTATAATAAGTCAATATTAATTTATTACTGAAGAAAGAAAAACTTTTTTGTAAACTTAGTGTATCCTATGTGTACAGTGCTGATGAAGTTTGCAGTAATGTAATGTCCTAGGCTTTTACATTCTCTCACCTCTCAATCATAGGCTCACCCAGGGCACCTTTCAGTCCTGCAAGCTCCATTCATGGTAAGCATGCTATACAGGCATAACATTTTAAATCTTTTATCTGGTATTTTTACTGTATCTTTTCTATGATTAGATATGTGTAGATACACAGATACTTACCATTGTGTTATAATTGCCTGCCATATTCAGTACAGTAGTATTCTGTACAGGTTTATACCCTAGGAACAGTGGGTTATACTAGATAGACTAGCTGTGTGGTAGGCTACATTATCTAGGTTTGTGTAAATACACTGCCTGATGTTTGCACAAAGAAAAAAATATCCTAATGACTCATTTCTCAGACTATATCCCTGTTGTCAAGTCATGTATGACTATATGATTTATCCAGACTCTCCATAGAATACATGTATTTAGTTATGAATACTCTATATAGATATGTTTGTATTTTACCAAAATGTTACAAAAATTGGATCACACTATGTATAGTATTCTGTAACTTGTTAGTTTCACTTAACATTATGTTTAAACTTTTGTTATGTATTTTGGTTACCTTTGCATAACTGTATATGTACCATTAGTCGATTCTTTTTAAAAGCTGCATAATATACTACTCTTTAAGTGCACAGTCACTTATTTAGCTAATTTATTAATGCTATTTTAAATTATGAAAATCACAATTCAATAAAAGTTATTGGGCATTTTCGATCTGCACAATATTGTGCCAACAACTGGAGCTAAGATGAATGCAATAATCTCTGCCACTAGGGAGTTTCTGATCTACTGGAATACAGCAATGAATTCGTCAATATAATGCAATGGAAATGCTGTCTCAGAAATACACACAGAGACACGGAGGAGACAGACGCTCGGAGTATTCAGGTAAAAGTTGGTGTATTTATGTTGCATATTGAAACATTAAATAAACAGTCACCACAGAGGAAAGCTATTTCTGGTTGCTGGTTTGCATGTTTAAATTCATACTGTTATGCAAAACTACGGTGTATCTGCAGAACTGCAAGTAGTTCAATGAGTTATCTATGGCAGGATCATGTAGGAGACGACACTGGTGAAGTAGGTGAGGGTTAGCTAATGCTGTGCGTGTTGTGCCTCAGGTCAATACATACTTTGGTTCTTATTGGCAACAGGGAGCCAGGTTAGATAAGGGAAGAAAACAAGGGAAGGTATAAAACACAGCATTGCCAGCTGGAAATAACTCTTCTTAAAGAAAATTCTGTAAGCAGTGATGTTTTGCCTGGTTTCCCTTACTTGGGCATAGCAGATGACATCTGTGCCCTGAGTATATCACCTCTGTTATTATTAGCATAGAGTGTCTGTGTATCAGTAAAAGTGTAGGATCACCTCCTAAATAAATTATTTTTACCTGAATTCTTACTTCCGTGTCTCTTTCTAAAAGGACCTCAAGCTAAGGTACTGGTCAATAAAATCTTGGTCAAAGCAGTCTAGGTTATTTGCCGATTTAGTTACCTACTTATTAATTCATAGAAACACCAGCAAAGCCTTTTGTTTGTTTGTTTGTTTTTGCTCCAGGCTTGAAAGGAAAGGTCAATTGTGGTGGCTCACACCTGTAATCCCAACATGTTGGGAGGCAGAGGTGAGAGGATCACTTGAGACCAGGAGTTTGAGACCAGCCTGGGCAACATAGCAAGGACCTGTGCCTACAAAAAAAATCAAAATAAATAAATGAATAAAAAGACTGTTCAAATGATGGAAGTTTGGTTTTTAAAGATGAAAAGAACCCATAGAAACTCAAGTGAAAAAAGAGAATCTCAGGAAACAAAGTTAAGCTTGGCAATAATTGAACCAAAATCACTAGGGATCCATTCTTTCTCTCTAACTCAAGATGAGTTATCTTGCATATATTTCTGCACATTGCTTTACTTTGCTGCAGCCTCACTTCCAAAATGAACATCTTAGAATTGGCATCCTGATAATGTTGGTTTACACATAGTATGTGGTTAAAATGTCATGAACTCTGACATGAATTATCTGTTATATCTCCAGAGACTAAATCAGTTTATTTGATTCAGTTTTAAAAAATTAATGTATTTGTGCAGTTTATGGAGGCATAATTGACGTATTATAAATGACTAATATTTCAAAGTACAATTGGTAAAACATAATCTATTTGTACACCAGTAAAACCACCACCGCAATGAAGGTAATGAATATGTGCATTATCCTCAAAGCGTTCCTCATGCCCTTTTCTAACCTCTTGCTTCCAGCCCTCACCTCTCTGGATTCCTCTCTGGCAATCCTTTATCTGCTCTCACAATGGATGACTGAATTTTATATAAGTGAAATCATGTTTGCCTCATTTCTTTCATTCATGTAACTATTTTAACATTCACTCATATTAATGTGTGTATCATTATTTCATGCCTTTTTAACTGCTGAGAAATACTGTATTTTATAGATATACTGCAATTTGTTTATCCATTCACGTTTAGGCAATTGGACATTTGGGACATTTTGGTTGTTTCTAGTTTTGAGTCATTAAAGATGATGTTAATGATGTTACTATCAGCCTTTATGTACAAGTCTATGTATAAACATATGTGCTTTAATTTGATAAACACCTAAAAATGCGATGACAGAGTCAAATGGTAGGTATACGTTTAACTTCTTAAGAAACTACTACACTTTTGTTCAAAAGCAACTGTCAGATTTTACATTCCTACCTGCAGTAAATGAGAGTTCCAGTTGTTTGACATTTACCATACTTGGTAAGGTCAGTCTTAAAATTTTAGTACCCTTACTGGTGTGTGTACTAGTATTTCTGTGTTTTTTAACTTGTGATGTTCAGAAACTGTTTCTATGCTGATTTACTATGTGTAAATCTTTATTAAAAAGGATCTGTTCACAGTCTTGGCCTATTTTTAAAAATAGGGTTGCTTGTTTTCTTATTAATAAACTTTTTTTTTCATTCTCTAATGTTTAACATTGAGATATAAGTCACATGACATATAATTCACCATTTTGAAGTGTATATGTCAGTGGTTTCTAGTATATCTACACAATGTTGTACAAAAATTATGACCATTTTATTCCAGAATATTTTCATTAATCCATAAAGAAATCCTATACCTGTTAACAATCATGCCTAATCTTTTCCTCAACTCATCTCTGGCAACCCATGAATCTACTCTGTTCCCCTAGATCTGTACACTCTGAAAATTTCATATAAATGAATTCATGCAATAGTGATAATTTCTGGTATGGCTTCTTTCCATTTAGCATGTTTTCAAGGTTCATCCAAATTGTGGCATGTGACAGATTCTTGTTACTTTATATGGCTGAAATTTTTTACTATAGAGTTTTGAGAATTTTTACATAGTCTGGATACACATTATCAGATTCATTATGTATAAGTATGTTTGTAATTATTCTTAATTATTCTTGTCTGTTGCTGTCTTTTAATGCTTCTTACAGTGTCTTTAATTGTTATTATTATTATTATTATTATTATTACTTTGATGGAGTCTCACTTTGTCTCCCAGGCTGGAGTGCAGTGGCACGATCTTGGCTCACTGCAACCTCGGCCTCCTAGCTTCAAGCAATTCTCCTGCCTCAGTTCAGCCTCCGAGTAGCTGGGACTACAGGCATGTGCCACCATGCCTGACTAATTTTTGTATTTTTATTGGAGACAGTGTTTCACCATGTTGGCCAGGCTAGTCTCGAACTCCTGATCTTGAGTGATCCACCTGCCTCAGCCTCTCAAAGTGCTGGGATTACAGGCGTGAGCCACTGCGCCCAGCCCAATTGTTAATTTTGATGAGGTTGAATTTAGTTTTTCTTTTGTGAATTATACTTTTGGTGGAGTATCTACTAACTCTTTGCCCCTAACACAGAGTCACAGTCATTTCATCCTATGCTATCGTCTAGAATTTTTATAATTTCAAGATTTACATTTAGATCTATAAATCATTTTACATTACTATTTTTATATGTGTGAGGATGGATTACAGATTTTTTTTCTCTTTTGGTTATAAATATTCAATTGTCCTACCCCTGCTTTTTGAAAAATCTGCTACTTCCCAACTGATATACTTTAACTATATATACGTGAATCTACTTTTTCACTTTCTAATATCTTCTATTGATCCACTTGTCTACCTTATCACTAATACTATACAATCTGATTATTTACTGTAGCTTTACAATAAGTCTACAAATCAGGTAGAGTAAGTTCCCCTCCACCCCCCCAATTTTTTTTCGAAGATGCTTTGGCTATACTATGACCTTTACATTTCCATGTAAATTTTAGAATTTGCTTATTTTCTAGAGAAAAGCCCAATAATTTTAATTGAGATTTCATTAAATCTATATATTAATTTGAGAAGGACTGATATCTAAACCACATTAACCACATATTAATCTAGGAACATTATATAGTTCTTCATTTATTTAAGTCTTCTTTCACTTTAGTATTAGAATTTATGTACAATTATTACTCATTTTAGTTAAATATATCCATAAATAATTCATTTTCCCTGAAGTTATTGTAAATACTATTTCAAATTTTAACTTCTGATTGCCATTACTATTAATAGTATATAGAAATACAATTAATTTTTGCATATTGATTTTTTTATTCCAGAACCTTGCTTAATCCATTCTTCTAGTCACTTTTTTGAAGATCACATTAGATTTTCTACATATACAACCATGCCACTTGTGAATAGAGTTTACTTTTGGTAGGATTTAAACTACAAATCCAGTATAAATTACTTAATATACATAGGCTATTCTACCATTTCCTCATAAGTAAGCTTTGTTATTTTATCTTTCAGGCCCTCTGTTATTCCATATATTGTCAACTTACTGGCATAGGGTAGTACATCATATTCCCTTATCTTTTTGTATGTGTTGCATCTTTGAGGATATAACATCTCTGATTCCTGATATTGGCAATTTGTGTCCTTTTATCCTCTCTTTTTAAATTTTCAGTTGGGCTAGAGTTTATCAATTTTATATTTTGAAAGAAGCATATATGCTTTTATTATTTTCTCCATCATTTTTTCTATTTTCTATTTCATTTATTTTCACTCTGACTTATTGTTTGCTCTCCTCTGCTTACTTTAGGTTTAATTTTCTCTTATCACTTTTTAGTTTAAGATATAAGATGAGGTCATCAATTTGAATAATTTCTTCTTTTTTAATATATAGTGACATAAATATTACTCTAAGAACTATTTAAGATTCATCCCATAATTTAGATGTGTTTTCTTTTCATTTTCATTCCATTTCAAAATACTTTCTAATTTGCTTTCTGATTTCCTCTTTGACCCATGGGTTATTTTGAACCATATCAGGCAGATCCCAAATATTTAGGAAGTTAAGGATAAAGTTTTGTTATTGATTTCTAATTTTTCATTGAGTATGAAAACAGAATCTTTAAAAATTTATTGAAGCTCATTTGATAGCCCTTCAAACGCTCTATCTTGGTATATGTTCTGTTTTTCCTTAATGAAAGTATTGCTCTATTCTTAGAGTTAAGTTATTAGGATATGTCAGTTGTTATTTAGCTAGTTACATGTTAGGATATATTAGGACATGTTAGTTGATAGTTAATTTCAAGTCTTCTATCAGATTTTTTCTTGATATATTTTGAAACTTTGTATTAAGAGCATACAAATTTAGAGTTATTCTCTAAGAAATTGGCAACTATATTATTATTATCCTGACCACAGGATAAATAAATGACCCTTTTAATGCTTGGTAATATTTTATGCTTTAAAATTTACTTTTTTGGCTGGAAACATGAGTACATGTTGGGAGGCCAAAGTGGGAGGATTGCTTGAGGCTAGGAGTTGGAGACCAACCCAGACA